ATTAGATATCGCCGCGATTGGTGTAAGATTTCGACAGGTACAGGACCACTTAAAGAGAACCAAAGACCGATGCGGAAATATATTAGCGGAAAACGTAAAACAAATGTGCCAAAATATCCTACGAATTATGGAGAAGGATATTAAAATGTTAACAGTATTAGTAAACCACGGATTAAATAAGCCAATAAATAATAAGCGCGGATTAATCGACGCCATAGGCGTGGTAGGGAAAACGTTGTTCGGAGTAATGGACGCGGACGACGCGAAGTTAATAGATGAACAAATCAGGTTAACGCAAACTAACCAGCAGACGCTACAGCACGCGGTCAAAAACCAGCTCAAAATAATAAACGCTACACTAGGGCACCTAACAGAGGTAGAGCAGGCGGTAAACTATAACGAGCACTTACTATTAAATGTTAGTCGTAGGATGGAGTTACAACTAGCCAAATTTACACTACGGAAAGACATGGACGAACAGCTACTTGTCCTGATGGCAATTATTGCCAATCTGGTAAAGGATGTAGAAAATATTACCGATTACCTCACACGCGCACGACGGGCTGATTATGATCCGCCTATTGCCATCAGAAACAATTATAGCGGAACTACGAGAAGCTGCGACACAATTAACCAAGGGTTTACATTTTCCGTTCAGGATACAACTAGAAAACTGGCAGTCCATTCAGAAATACATGAGGGTAAACGCGTACTACACAGACCCGAATATATATACCATACTCCAGTTTCCCGTCATCGCTTACCCGTCATATAAAGTCATAAAAGTAATTCCTTTTCCCACACCGGAGCATGATAATGTATTTACATTCCTAAAAGTAAACCAGCCCCTGATGGCAATTGACAAAGAAAATCATCACTACATGCTGCCGTGTGAAAAGGAACTAGCGAAATGTGTCCGGGAGGAATCGACGTTTACATGTGAGCGAAACCTACCCGTGTATGTACAATATTAGAGCAGACGCACCGTGCGAGGTGCAAGTGTTTACAAATTTGCCAGGGCAACTCCGAAATTGTGAACGAAAACGCGTGTTAGCGAACACCACGCTGTGGATAACACTAACCGAATCGCAAACGTGGCTATACGCAACGCCATAAGCATAAAAAATAAATATAAAATGCAGCAATCAAGCGGATCAGGGAATTGTAATACGTGGGACCGGGAAAATAACGTTGGAGGGAAATTGTAAACTAACGACGCCCGATGTCACGCTAACGACGCAACAACAAATCTGCGCCGCGAGTATACAGGCGTACTTACCCGAATTTAATTTGACCCTCGAGCACCCCGACGAACATCTTACACACCGGGAACGGCCACGATTAAAAACAATTGTAAAAAACCCGACCGAACTCGAAAAATTAAGCGCAGAGCTAGACAAAATAAATAGACAATTAGAGAACCAGGATACGATAATCATGAATAGGTACGCAATGCACACCGCGAGCGGCGACGCAACCACTGTAGTAATTATAAGCGTAATATGCGTAATCATCTACATACATATAAAGAAATGCAAGAAAAAAGCAACAAAGAGACCCGCGAGGACCCATACTCGAACAATGACGCGATGCTGTACTAAACAAATAGACTAGATAGATAGAACAAACAAGTAGATAATAAGAAATGACTGTAAAAAAGCATAAAATAAAGAAAATGCACCCCTCATTTCCTTTTCTTTGGGGGGGAAGAGTACGTCACGGGCCGATTACCGTGACACGGATGCGACAATTGTTAAGAAATACGGCACGACCTAAATTAAATCGGGAACGCCGACGAAGCGTTCCGAAAAGATATATTATGTAAAAATTCTGTCGAAAGATAAGTTCGTGTCACGTTACCAGATCCGCCACAAATAGTTAAGTGCCGTATCGGCGAGTATCGAGTAAGAAGAAGCGGGATATTGTGAAATAAACTGAGACCGGATCTAAGAGCAAATAAAGTGTATTTTTGAAAAAGTGATCAAAGGCGTCTGAGTTATTCAGTTCCCCGCGGAGCCGGACCCCGTTGTGCCAGCGGCACAACAATTTGTAATGGTGCTTTATTTTTTGCCTTGCACTCTTATCACCAGAATATACACGTGTCTGACCTCTTTCAATTAAAATTTGTTCTCCTTTATGAAGACAATATGAACACCCATATGTACCATTAAATTGTTTTATATTTTAAATAAGTGGTCTAGCTACTGAATCTGCAGGTGCCAGAAGTGCATGTACTTTAATATGTGTTACGTCCGGTGGACGATTTTTTCGTTTTGTGAACACGCAATAAGATAAATTCTTAAATATAATAACGGCCATCAATCGACAAAATACCTCGACTTAACGAAATTGACCGTTGTCGGTTTCTTTGGGAAGAATTCGGTTTTAGCAAATAGTATAGAACCGAACGTGAGAGATATTTATTACCAAAAACAGATAAGGTATCTCACAGTACACAATTTACCCGCGAAGAAAAACCTAAGTTCGGAACGTTTTTTTTTTGTAAAAGAAAAAGACTAACAGATAAACTGTCAACAAGTATGTTTGGGCTGGATTCATGACAAAACCGAAAATTCCATAGAA